GACACGAACTTCTGCTGCTCGGGGGTAACGATCCTTTGCTCCAATAGGTGCTTGAGCGGTTGTTGGTCGGTAACAATTTGAAAACGTCGACCTAATAGATAAGGCCTCCAGTATCGTACAGCCTCAACTACTGCTAGCATCTCTTTCACGTACACTGACAGACCCAATCGAGTAGTGCCCAGTGCCTTACTGAGATAGGCTAGGGGTCGCCTCTCTTGAACTAGTACAGCTCCAATTCCAATGTCTCTTGCATCGGTGTGTACTTCGAACAAGACATCAAACCTGGGCATGGCGAGTACTGGCGTTGTAGTCATGGCTTCTTTCAACTTTCCAAACGCCTCTCAACTGCGTGAGACTAGTTGGCTTAGGCCAATCGATCATAGCCTCAATCTTTCGTGGGTCGACCTTCACGACCTCGTGTGATATGAAGTGCCCCAAATATTCAACCATCATCTGTCCAAAAGAACATTTGGACGGCTTTATGTGGAACGCGTTGGCCTCCAGAATTTCGAGCACCACTCTCAAATGCCCAAGATGTTCGCTCCATGACTTCGAATAGATCAGGATATCATCAAAGAATACCAGAACGAACTTACGCAGATACTCCTTGAAGATAGAATTCATGGCGAACTGGAAAGTGGATGGGGCGTTGCATAATCCGAACGGCATGACAAGATACTCATAGTGTCCCTGGTGTGTACGAAACGCTTCCTCGCTAGTTTCGGTCCATGTGAACCCGCCTTTCTTTGTCATTTCTTGCAGTGGCTTGGCGATGGTTCCATAATCTTTCACGAATTTTCGGTAGTAGCTCGTGAGCCCTAGGAACCCTCTCAACTGCGTGAGACTAGTTGGCTTAGGCCAATCGATCATAGCCTCAATCTTTCGTGGGTCGACCTTCACGCCCTCGTGTGATATGAAGTGCCCCAAATATTCAACCATCATCTGTCCAAAAGAACATTTGGACGGCTTTATGTGGAACGCGTTGGCCTCCAGAATTTCGAGCACCACTCTCAAATGCCCAAGATGTTCGCTCCATGACTTCGAATAGATCAGGATATCATCAAAGAATACCAGAACGAACTTACGCAGATACTCCTTGAAGATAGAATTCATGGCGAACTGGAAAGTGGATGGGGCGTTGCATAATCCGAACGGCATGACAAGATACTCATAGTGTCCCTGGTGTGTACGAAAGGCCGTCTTGGGAATGTCGGCTTTGTGGAGTCGAATCTGATGGTAACCAGCTCTTAGGTCAAGTTTAGAGAAATAGCGTGACCCGGCTAACTCATCAAGCATGTCATCAACACTTGGAATAGGAAATTGGTCCTTGATGGTTGCAGCGTTTAAAGCTAGGTAGTCAGTACAGAACCTCCACATGTCGTCTTTCTTTTTGGCTAACAGGACTGGAGAAGAAAACGGGCTCTTTCTATGTTGTATTAGTCCTGATTCAAGCATCTCGGCCACTTGCCGTTCGATCTCGGTTTTTTGAAAGTGAGCGTACCTATAGGGATGAACGTGGATGGCATGTTGTTCGTTGATCAGAGGTATGCGGTGATCGAACTCCCGGTGCGGAGGTAGTCCCTTAGGTTCGCCCAATACTCCCTCAAATTCCTAGAGAAGCTTGTGCACATCTCCCTGCTGTTGCTCCTCTTGATCTATGTGCGCCTCAGTTATCTATACTAGTACGGCAAATATTTGGCCTCCTCCCCGCCAGACCTTCTCAATACTCTTAAGCCCTACTTCTTTGCCACCTTTTTCATTGCCCGCACTGAGTGTGACTTGCTGACCTCCGAAGTTGAACTCCATGATTCCTGTTCGATAGTCAGTGGTCACCTTGCCTAACCCCTCGAGCCATTGGACCCCTAGGACGACATCTGGTCCAACCAGAGGTAAGGCATAGAGATCAGCCTTTACCGTAACTCTGCTGAACCTGATTGGCACCTTCCGGAAGGATTTAGTGCATTGCAGCCTTTCACCATTGGCTACTCGTACCTCAAAGGGTTCGATATTCGTGGTTGTTAAGTTCAGCTTTTGGGACAAGTCGGCATTGATGAAGTTGTGGGATGACCCGTTGTCTACTAGTACCACCACCTTTCGATCCTTGACCCATGCTGGCAAGCGCATCGTCCGAGGACCTCGTATCCCGGCCATCGCGTGCATTGAAATTTCTGCTTCTTCGTCAGGCCCTTCAACTATGATATCCTGAAATGGTTCCTCCTCGTTCTCGGATCCTTCCTCATCGGGATTAGCAACTTCGATCACAAAAGCTTGTTCACACTGATGACCCGGTGTAAACTTCTCCTCGCACTTAAAACATAAGCCCTTCTCTCGTCGGCGTTTAATTTCCTCAGGAGATAGTCGCCTCACTATCGACCCTGCTGGCCGATTGTTAACGTTTGGCCGTGCGCTGGTCGTGGCTGGGTTCGGCCCCGTGCGTCGCGTGTCGGCGTATCGCACATCCGCCCGTCCCCTTCGCGTAGCGACTAGATGATCTTCTCGTCGACGGGCCACCTCCATGGCGTTGTGCATTGTGTTTGGCCGCTCCAGTCGTACTTCTGCGGCTAGATCGAATCTCAGACCATCTATGAAAGCTCCTACTAGCGCATCCTCGGACCAATCTCGCACGCGACAGGCTAATCGTTCAAACTCCTTGATGTATTCACGTAAATTGCCTGTCTGTCGGATTCGTGCGAGAGTTTCATTATAATTGTGGTAATCGGACGTACCAAAACGTGTGAGCAATTCTTTTTCAAAGTCGGCCCACGTGATGACCTGTTGTCGCCTACGGTAGATCCGGGACAGCCACTGCCAACATACGTTGGCCTCCCCATCTAAGTAGAATGTCGCGTACCTTACTCGATCATGGCCGTCGGTTTCATTCAGCTCGAAGTATTGCGCGATCCGGTTGAGCCAAGCCTCTGGATCGCTACCAGTGAAGATGGACATTACGAACCTTGGCTTGTCGGGCTTCGGCCGCTCATGATTGGTGGATGCTTGTGATCGTCGGTCGAACTCATCCTCGTGCTCGTAGCCTCCGCGTCGCCGATCCTCGTCGTGTTCGCGCGCGCGTCGTTGCTCGCGTCAATCCTCGCGCCGTGGCGATGGCGTGCGATCGGCGTGCTCGGAGTGTGGGCGCGGTTCGCGCCTTGGAGGATCATCGCGATGATGTGGGAGTTGCTGCTGGAACGCGTGCAAGACCTCCTCTAATCGCTGTTCGAGTCGTGTGACAACAGCGTTGGTGTTGTTTTGACTTTCGTCGAGCGATCCCAACCTTCCTTCCATAACCTCGCTCATACTTCGCATCTGGACGTCAAGATTATCGATCTTATCCTTCATCTCCTTGTTGGCCATGGCTTTTCTTTCTTCTCTCCGCTCTTTGCTTTGTGGACTCGTGATTGAGACGATGATGGTGATGATGAACGAAATATATATATATATATATATATATATTTTTTATTTTTTTTGATAAGGGGGGGACGAAAAATTGAAGAGAAAAAGAAAGGGAATGGGATAGAAGGAAAACACACGATCAACACCTCTCAATGAAAGCACCAATGATGAGGATCGTGTGTTTCGACTGCCGATAAGCCACAAACCAGTGCCTTGAATCGCCGATAGTGGCCTAGAGGTTCACAAACCGCACCCCTCTAAACGATATAATTGCTATAGAATTTTGGTGAAAATCTAAAGCAAAGAGGATGAACAAAAGTTCTTGAGTTCTTATTAATTC